CCACTATGAAAAAAATGCAGTTAATAAGAAAGACATTCAAACTATTCGCATTCCTGTTGCGAAAGCTTTTTGCGGCATACTTTTTTTGCTTCTGCCTATTATGGCTGAGATTAACGCTGTTTTTTACATCCTTTTCGAAATTGAGACGGCCTTTGAGTTTAAAAATATCTATGATAAATATAAACATACGTACATACCTCAAATTTCATAAGGAAAAATAAACGTACCAAATATGATGCGGTCAATGAGCTTAAGTTTCATTAACGCTCTCTTTCCACACCTTCCATCCCAATTAAAATTGATTAACAACTCGTCCGAAAACATTTTTTTTTATCGTCCCATCAATATTTCGAGACGCAGCGCCCAATGTGAGTATGTAAGATATCTGCAAATAACAAAATATATTAATGTACATTATTCGTCCTAGAGTATAGAAATAATGTAATTAACTCTATTTCGTTCATACCATTTCCTCTTTATATTCATTGCTTTGTAGTTTTTCCTCCACATCAAACAATGCGTCAATGGTTTTTAATGGGAGAACATCTGAAACTTCCAATTGGAACTCAGTAACCGCGCCCCCATTTATTCGACAGAATGACTGATGGACCTTTTTGATAAGCACTTTGCATTCTCGGAGAGTTTTTTGCTGAGCCACCACCTCGCATCGATCGGCATCTGAAATATCAAGATTTATTGTGAAAAACGAACTTCTTAAATATGAATTTAAGACTTAAAAATCCTCTTTCGCAAAAACGTATACATAAAAATTCTTGAAAATGTAAACTTCCTTTAGTATTTAAATTTTATTAACCGTATGTTTATTTCATTATGGGCTGATAATATTATACGAAAATGAGTAAACTGCTTACATTTTCGGTTATCTTCTTTTGCAAATCATCGACCTTAGCCTCCAGTTTGCTTCGTCTCTCCAAAATGGTGTTGCATAGACCGATAATCTGAGTAAAAGCTGTAAAATAAATCGGTCTTAATGAATGGGTAATGTGAAAACCTTATAATGAAGGTGTTAATAAATCGTAGTTGTGGACACCTTATAATGAATGTGTTTTACCGATTCATTTAAATAAAGTGGCAATACCAAACGTCTTCTAAATTTTCATTTGAGTGTGTGTTTTTGTTTACATTTTAATATATTGTGGCGAATACTGCGGCAACACAAAGCGAATAACGAGAAATAAGAAGAATGTTCGAGGAATGACGTAGAATGTTCCAAATGAGAAAACGTCAAGTGGATGAACACTGCGAACAGCGCGAGAAAGAGAATGAGCGATGAACTTCAGAACATTCTAGAGTTGCCATGAGTGCGAGCCCAGGTATATAAGGGCGCCACCAGACACCGGAGAGAGTTAGTTACAAGTCAGCAAGCTACAAGTAAAGTGAGTTACGAATAAGCAAGCTATAAGTTTAATTGTGTTAACAAGTTTTGTAAAGCGTTGTAATTGCTTTAACGAGTATTGTAAAGTGTTTTTACGGTATTAGAAAGTATTGTAAATTATTTGTTGTACAATAAAGTTAATTGTACTACAATTTGGTCATCGTCAGCATTTATTTAACAATCCAGCGACACGAGCCGGAAGTTGTTTGGGAAATCGCTCAAGGTTTCAAGGATAAACGCAACAATTGGTGTCAGAAGTGGGATTGTTAAATAAATCCCGAAGGATAAACTACTGAAAATGGCGAAAATTCAGACTTAAAGATTGAGGAGCTGAAACAGGAGTTGGAAAAGCATAATTTGGCCACCTCCGGAAGAAAAGTGGAATTGTTATCCCGGTTGCGGGAGTCTATGGAAGCTGAAAGCATCGACGTGGACAAATACGACTTCCAGGGCAAACCCGACGATGCATCCGCAAAGGACGAACAGAAGGATAAGGCTGCTTGTTCGTCGAAGGATGTGCAGCAGACAACCGGGAAGGTTTAAGAACAACAGGGGCTCTTAGTTCATCAACAGCTATGGACATGAACACGTTAT